AGTTCTCGCGTTTCGTGTACTATTTTACTTGCGTGTTATTCGTTTTAGAAACGAAGAGTTAAAGCCATGTGCCACTATCATTACTGCCCACAAGTCCTTATGGAGGTGGTTCATAAGCATGTGTTTACATATATATATATATATATATTATATATATATATATATATATATATATATATATATAATATATATATGTGTGTGTGTGTGTGTGTGTGTGTGTGTGTGTGTGTGTGTGTGTGTGTGTGTGTGTGTGTGTGTGTGTGTGTGTGTATGTGTGTGTGTGTGTGTGTGTGTGTGTGTGTGTGTGTATAAATGTATGCACACCCGCACACACATAAGCACATACACATAAAGCGTAGCCTAAAATTTGTAATATAAACTGTAAACCAAACTTTACATTTCCGTTGGTTAAAAAGTAAATATATACCTACGGATTGGATTAATGTATACTTTAAGAGAAACAAATGTAAAGATACATGAGTTGCATAATCACAACAGTGAAGAATTGTATTCCCGCTACAAGGGAAAGTAATTCTATTATAGATAAGTCAAAGATATTACAAAATGAGGGACGAATAACTATTTTTTCAGCTATTTTTTCCAAAAAAATAAATCCCTTTTGTAAGCGTTTGTTACTCTCACCCCCGTCTCTCTTTTCCTCTCCTCTCCCTCTCTCTGAGTCTTCCTCTCTCCTCCATTCTCTCTCTCTCTCTCTTCTCTATCTCCCTCTCCCTTCCCCCTTCTCTTTCAATCTCTCTCTCTCTCTCTCTCTCTCTCTCTCTCTCTCTCTCTCTCACTCTCTCTCTCTCTCTCTCTCTCTCTCTCTCTCCCTCTCTACAACGGACACTCCCCCCAACAGATTGGTCACCACCTAAAAAATCAGGTATTTCTACTACTATTGTAAAATTCCTTCACGGATCAAAATCGACTTGCTGATCGGAATGTTCTCCGAACAGCAATCGTCTCAACAAAATCCTAGAGCAAAAACAAGCAGAGAACACATCGGTCACACAAGAACCGATCCCCCCTCCCTCCCATCCCCCACCCTGATCAGACCACATACGAAACCTTTCCATTCACATCTCCCCCAGTCACAGCGCCCCCTCCCTCTACCCCAAACCCCTCCTCCACACACCCATGCCCATACCCACGACCGGCGATCCTCCCCTCTCCCTGCCCGCGACCAGCCAGCTCCCTCGCGCCCTTGCTGACTCGCCGGCCTCCAACTCTGCTGAGCCATCCACGTGCCCGGCGCTCCCAGCCAGCAGTCCCCCGTCCCTACAGACGCCCCCGTTTCCCCCAAGTCAGCCAAGAGCCCTCTCGCCGTGAGACCGAAAACCAACAAGCCCAAAGTTGAAGCTTCTATACAAGTGACACGTGAACGAAGCTTTAGGGGAATAAAACAGGAATAACAAGCAAATCGAACAACTCGACCCCAACCGCCACTGGGAGGAAACAGCTCAGCAGCAGGTGCAAGGGGCTACCGCCCTGCCCACTGCCCCCCTCCCCCAGCAGCGCCACCAATCATCATCAACAACTATGCAGAACGAGCAAAACTCAAAGCACCAAAGCCGTTAAAGGGAGCAGATCGTCCTGACACAGTCTACCTTTACATTATTAGTTGTCACCTTTATACAAGCGAAGAGGATATAGAACATTTATCCGAAAAGTTTGAAAATATCTCGTGTCAAGGCCCATAAGACAGTGATGACACACGACTACTGCACCAGCTTCACGGTGTCCGTTCGGGGGAAGGACACAAAGCCGGAACTATTTATAGACATGTTTTCCCCGACAATGTCAGTGTTCTTAAACAAAAACAAGTACAAGCGCGATCAGTATGTTTGACGAGGCAACGCCGTCAGCGATACCAATGGTCATGAAAATAGAGCATATAAACGCTCAGTCTCTCCTCGGGCATTTTGAAGAAATTAAAATGCTTGTTGAGGAAAGAAACGGACATATTATGCATAAGTGAAACATGGCTCCACCAGGAAATGGCTAGTAATTTCATCAATATCCCAAATTTTATTCCAAAGTTTATAGACGTGATGCAGGACGGTGAGGAGTATGTTTATATGTACGAGATACCGTGAAGTCAATCTGCTAAAGCAATTAGCAATACCGCCGTAGAAGATGTCTGGGTTACCGTGCAAAGCAACATGCTTCGCTCCTTCATTATTGGCGCTGTCTGTAGGGAACCCAGAATCTTCTGGATACATTATAGAAAATTCTCACTTCGGCCGTATCCCCGCTTTTCATCTTAGGTGACCTGAATGATTAAACAAAATTTAATTAAGAAAAATAAATTAGAACAAATAATAGATAAACCTACGCGAATTACAGAAAACATCTCTTCTCTATTAGATTGATAATAACTCATATCACACATCATTCTCCATTTCGATGTCATCCCGTGCCATGTTTCTGACCATGAACTTATAACTATGACGTTAAATACACACACAAAAAAAAAAAAAAATCAAAGCGACCACCAGTAATAAAACCTTTTCGCGATTTCAAACGCTATGACCCTCAATCTTTCCGCGAGCTTATCTTGTCTAAAGAACTCTGAAGACTCTATTGGATATTTCATCGACAGGTAATGTAAACAATCAAGCAACTATTCTCATGGAAGTTATTAAAAGCAGCATCGATGCGCTGGCTCCCGACGCACCTCGACCCGTCAGACGTCCCTCTGCTCCACGGACAAATGGCGACATCAAGAGAGCCGTTAGCGATAGGGATCATGTCCACCAAGCTCTTAAAACAACAAACATGAAGCCGCCTTTCAGGTAGATTATTAAATAAAAAAGAAGAATGTAAAATTGCTAATTCAACCTGCAAGAAGAAATTATTTCAGATATAAATTCATAGAATATATGAACAATTCTGATAGAACATGGACAATTGTTAAAACTAGTGCCTCACAACAAACACCCCACTAGTGATTGTACAAAACCTTTACAAAGCTCAGAGCACTTTAATGACGTATTTAAAAAATGGAAAATTAACTTTTGAATAAACAACTACTTCTAGAAAAAAAAAAAAAAAAAAAACAGATCGGGCAGAGTTTATAACTAATTCTTTGGATGCAGAAACAATTATATTATCAATAAAAGACCTTCGCGAAATGCTGTAGGAGCAGACGGTATTGCTTTGCACTTTATCAGAGATAGTCTATCCGCAATTGCACACTATTTGGTCATTATTAACACCTCTCTGGTCACTGTCTTTCCGTCGCTTTGGAAACATGGTATAGCAACACAAATATTCAAGGCGGGGGATATAGACGACGTGAATAATTATCGCCCTATCACTATACTCCCTAAATAATCCAAATTTCTTGAAAAAATGTAGCAAATCAACTAACAAGTTTCCTGGAGGCCAATAAATCTAAAATGCAAGATGGTTTCAGAAATAAGGTATCTACTGAAACAGCTTTACTATAAATTACTGATGAGAATTTTTAATAACTGTCAAAAATCAGGTAAATCTGTTCACATAATGCGACCTTTCTAAGGCTTTTGATAGTGTCAACCATGAAATTCTTAACAAATTAGTAAATCATAAAACTGATACCTTTTGGTTTAAAAGTTATTTCGATACAAGGACCCAATCGGTTAGTATCAATTTTGGTGTCATCAAAACAGCAAGTACTTTTTGGTGTTCCGCAAGAATCTATTTATGGTCCGATCTATTTACAATTTCCATAAATGATTTATCAACAATAGCCCATAACTGCCTCCAAGTGCATGACGCCGATGATTCAGTTTCTTCATAGTGACTTAGTAAACAACTTGAATATATTAATAAGAAACACTCAACATATCCTTACACAAGCAAAATTATATTTTGACACTAATGGCCTTAAACTAAATCCACATAAAACTTAATGTACATTCGTAGGTAGTCGGCAGAACATAGATAAAAATCCCAGTGACACGACCATAGAATTTGAAGGCTGCTCTATCAAACCGGAGTACGCTTAGATTCATGGCATTGGAACCACATGTTGACAAAATACAGAAAAGTAGTGGGCACCCTGGTATATCTAAATCACATAAGAAATCAAATCACTACTGAAACGAAAATTATGGTTGTGTAAACTTTAGCTCTAAGCATAATTAACCATTGCTTAAACTTTTTTTTTCATAGTACAATCATTGTGCTGGTATATGAGACAGCTTTTGACTGTTTAGTCTCATTTTTACAGGCTAAAATTTACATTTTACCAGGAAAAGTATAAATCACAAATAAATATATCTCTCTCCCTCTCTCTCTTTCGCCCTCTCTACCTCCCACTCCCCTTCTCCCTCTACCTCCACCTACCACCTCCCTCACTGGAGGTGATAGCTGTTAGCTAGTCCAGTGGACTGAGGTTGGAGTACGTGTCACCGTGCTTGTCTCCTCTCTCTCCTTCTCATCTCATCTCTCTCTCTCTCTCTCTCTCTCTCTCTCTCTCTCTCTCTCTCCTCTCTCTCTCCTCTCTCTCTCTCTCTCTCTCTCTCTCTCTCTCTCTCTCTCTCTCTCTCTCTCTCTCTCTCTCTCTCTCTCTCTCTCTCTCTCTCTCTCTCTCTCTCTCTCTCTCTCTCTCTCTCGGTAAGGTGCTGGTCGAGCAATCTTGGGGACCTGCGTTCAATCCCACGCCCGGCCAGTGAATGGTAACCCCGGCCATTCCTCGCACACAGGGGGAGATTTGGTCAAAATAAAACAGACAGTATGTCACAGCAAAGAATATCCATTGTAACAAATGGAATTAAAACTAAATCTTTAAATATTAAAGATCTCTCACCCCTCTCACTCTTTCTTTCATCTCTTCACCCCCCCCCCCCTCTCTCTCAGTTTGATAATCCAACGATGTTTTCAGAGATTGGTTAGAGTGGTAGTACTATATTTGATATATGATTTTCTAGGCGTTCACTATCTACTTTCGTCACAGGAAATTAGTTTTTGCATACTAACGGGGATGGCTTTGCGAACAATGAAGAATCAACTTG